CCAGAGCAAAGGCTGGATCCTGAATGAGGGGAAAGGCTGGATGCTGATCCAGATGCTGATCCAGCACAGCCTTCCCACGTTGGGAGGGCCAGTGGTGATGGTTTATGGCAAATAATGCAGGGCAAGCATCTCATTAAACACGTGTGGGATTGTTCTGTGAGGGAGCTGAGCCTGCTGCCATCTGCTCCACAGAGCCAATTAAACAAGAGGGGTGGGGAGAATAAAGTACAGATGCTAATGGGCTGGGTAAACTGCAGGGTAAGTTCTCCTAAATATTTAGACTGTTTTCCTGAGGTTGTGTGTGAGGGCTGACTTTTGCTTCTGTGAAGTTCCCTCCGTTTCATCTGAGGTTGCCACTTAGCTCTGATTGTTCTGGTTAAAGTTAGGGTACTTTTAAGTCAGTGAAATTAGCTTAAAGATGTTTTTTTTTTCCCCTAGGGTGGAATTATGCCTAGGAATTCTTGAGCAGGGAGCAGATATCCCAAGTAGGGACCAGACCGAGGCAGGGGCTGAGCAGTTCATGTGTAGCCTCGGGGTTGGACTCTCAATCTTACTTGATTTTAACTGTTGATTTACTCATTATCTGTGCTTAGTTTGACTGAAGAATTCCTTCTGCCCCTTCTCAGCCATGCACAGTGCTTTTAATTAAAACAGAATATACCAGAGCATTTTAAAGAAATCAGTTAATTCCAAATCAAGCAGAAATAGGTTAAAAACCAAGGCAAATAAATTCCTGCTTGCACTGTGACTCTTACATAACCATGGATGATGTTCTCTGGCATTATTTTGCAAGTTCATAAATGGGCTACATGTGGAAAGGGTGGAAGAAGGGTCAGCTTTGTGTTAGGGACAGAAAGCTCCATTCTCAGGAGCTGACAGTTGATTTCCTCCGCATTCCTTTTGATGTCTGCACACTAAACGCTGCGTGGACAGAAAAATTCAATTCATTTAAAACATTTTGCATCAAAATGACATGCTTTAATGTATTTCCTTCTGATGTTTAAGTTATCTTTTCATCTCATGAGGGAGGGAAGAAAAAAGCCAACATGTTTGTAGTTAAAGTACCCAAGCAGAACTTTAAACAAAGGTCTTGATGAAGTCTCGATGTATGGGCAGCTTTTAAGAGTAGAAACCTTTTTTTTTTTTCCCCTCCCCTGCCCCCCCTTCTTGGCTCTCTGAGCCTTGTAAGCCAAGGAGATTTATTGCTGCCCTTCCAAATGCTTCTTCAGAATGAAGAGTTCACATTTTTTAAATTCCTCAAGTCCTCAGGAGGGAGAGGGATAAGGGGAAGTGATGATGGGGAGCACACCAAAGGATTTTCCAGGCTGGTTTTGCTGCCTTTAACTGTGCTGGGAGGGAATCAGCTGAACCTGCATCACAAAAACTCTTGGAGCTGTGGACTCCAGGAGTTGTCAGGGAGATGAACTTGGATGAAATTGAAACTTTTTAGTTGTTAGTGCTGATAATGCAGTCCAGGGTGTTTAGGAATCCCTGTCCTTGGCCAGGTGCACGGCCACGTGTGTGACTCAGCACTGGCAGAAGTGGGATCCATTCCCTCTGTGAAACCCCAGCTCTTCTGGAGAAATGTCTGAACAGCTTAAATAACCTCCATTTATTGCTGTTACAGCTATTGATTCCTCTGATGGCTGTTAAGAGAGCAAAGGAATATTTTAGGGGTAGTGTACATTTCCCAGTGGGGATGGCCCCACTGTCCCAAGGGGAAAGCTGTCCTTGGAAGTGAGAAATCTTGGAAGAGAAGCTCAGGTGATCAGGCAAACTTTTTAGGAATGCTCTTGGTGTAACCCCAAATCTTCCCAGTCTTATTTTTCAGCAGAATATAACAAGGTGTTGAGTGTTTTTTCCTCTGTGTCTGTAAACATCGTGGCTGTCACCTGTTCCCCCTGGGAACTGGGCTTCCCACAGGAGGACACAGCTCCCACTTTTATCTTCTGACACTTTTTTTTTTTTTTTTTGCTATTAATGAGATTGATCAGGTTGTGTTCCAATTTGGTCTCACTTGTCTTTTCTCCACATACTAAATTTGTCTAAACTTGGCTCCCAGCCTCCCATGTTTTAGTTGGAAACAAGTATTTTTAAAAGTAATTATATTGGGTTATGTGTTTAGCAAAAGAAGGGTCATAGTTTGCATATGGAACTATTTTTATCACCTTAGGTCAGTTTGGTAAATAAACAGATGTTTGGAAAATAACCCTGTTATGTCTTTGCCTTCCAAAGGCAGCCTCTGCATGCAGATCCCACATGGAGACATGATTCCCCTTGGGAAGCTTGGCACTGGGAGACTCCCCAGCTCCTTCTCTGACCCCATTTCCTCACCCATCCACCCTTTGGAGCTGCTTTCCTGTGACATTTATGACCAAAAAGCTTCTCACACATCCTTTCTGGTTTTTCTTGCAGAGGATATTCAACTCCTTCGTGTACACAGAGAAAATATCGAATGGAGAAAGCGAAGTTCAGCAGGTGAGTCCAAAACCCCTTCACCTCCACTGGCAGAGTCAGCTCAGGGAATTCTTTCTGTCTGCATTCGTGGCCCCTTCCTAACCTCAGATCCCAGCCAGAAGTAGGATAAAAATGGGGATGGGCTGCATGTGCTGATGATGCTTTTGAGAATTTTGCAAAGCCTTTCCATCTGCTTGGTGTGGGGCTGATCCTTGGAAACAAAAGGGCCCTCATGAAGTAGCTCCCATTAATTGTCAGGATTTCATGTTGGAAGTGTCTCTTTTTAAATTTCAAATTCTAAGTAAACCCATTGATACTAATATGATACGATATGCACCAGCTACAGCCTGGTGCATCAGAGAGGTGATTGAGGGGTACTTGTAATTTTGTGGGGTTTTACAGAAACACATTTCAACATTTAACAATGAGATAAAATGGGCAGTTTGCATTTTAATACATGTGTTTATTTTTAAAATTAATTTTGGATCAGTTTCCAAACAGATCAAATAGGTCATGTTTTATTCTTTCAGAAATTAAAGTCCCAGTTGTATTTGTGGTAAAGGTGATGGGTTTTGGTCAAAGAAATGGAACAAAGAACCAGTTTTTCTTCCCAGTCTGAGCATGGACTTGCTCAGCCTTCAGGAGTAACCTGACCTTCCCAGACCCCTATCAAACCAGTTCTAATGTTCAGGAAAAACAGAAGCTGCTCAGAGTGGGGCTTTCCCTGGGGAAGAGGGAGTTGCAGTTCAGCCCTGCAGGTAGCCCCATTGTGGTTTCCTAGGGCAGGTCAGTGCATGGCATGTTCACGTGGGTTCAGGCTGCTCCTGGAGTACAGAAATAATTAAGACTCCAAGTCCTGCTTCCTGGAAATGGTAACATTTTCAATCTTCAATTTTTTTACTGAGGAAAAAGTCAAAGCAGAGCTGGTTCAAATGGGATCCTAAGGAACTTTTAGGTTGGAAAAGACCTTTAAGACCATCAAGTCCAGCTCTGCCACCTCATGTCCCCAAGTGCCACGTCCACAGGGCTTTTAAATCCCTCCAGATATGGGGTAGCTGTGCCAGGGCTGGATAATCCTTTCTGTGAAGAATTTTCCCAAATATCCACCTTGAGCTGCCTTGGCCCAGCCTGGGGCCGTTCCCTCTGCTCCTGTCCCTGTTCCTGGAGCAGAGCCCGACCCCCCGGCTGTCCCCTCCTGGCAGGAGCTGTGAGAGCCACAAGGGCCCTGAGCCTCCTTTGCTCCAGGCTGAGCCCCCTCA